ATCAACCTAGGACCCATGCTTCTGTTGGTAAAAATATGCAAAAGAAATTGAACAAAGCAAACAATCCTTAATTGCTTGCATAAGACCTGTAAAGCTTTTATAAAATCCCAACTATTTGGGTGAAGCTGACTAGGCATAACGTTCAAATAGGTTAGAAGATCGAGCTCAAAACTAGTCAAAGGGAAGTTTACATTAAAGACCTTAAAAAATATTCAAAAACAAAGACAAAGACACCCGTGTTATCCTTTGATGCCATTAAAACTCTATCTGAGAGAGAGTAGGGAAGAACAACATGCCCATCTTGGCAACTTTTGAAGGTAACAACAAACTTATTTACCTCATCGACAAAAATAAAATCAACAACTTCATCCAAGACCAAAGTATACCCAACGTCTCTTATAGGAAGAAAATAATCCTTACATAGCAGGGGAAGCTGCTTTTTTCCCTTACCCTTTAACTTAGCATTGTGTTTTCTAGGAACTACTACAAAGACTCCTAAATAAAGAATTATAGAAAGAATGATACTTAGGTGCTCTGGAGAAGAAACTCGATTGTCGTGATTAAAAGATGAAAGGAAGTCCTCATCCATGGGGCAATCTCCTTCTCTAACAAAGGATGAGTTATAAAAGAATTGGATGAAGAAGACATACCTAGAGATAAAGGATGAACAAAGAAGTACGTGGAAGAGAGCTTGAACGAAGGTTAATCGAAAATTGCATAATGTTGTACCATAACTAGAATTGAAGTAAATCAATAAGAAATTGAAGATGAAAAAAAAGAGTCTTGAAATTTAAAACAGGGGTTTCTTAAACATCGTTTGCCTCTAAGTGGTGAGAACCTTTGATGCTTCACGTTGATTCATCAAGCCAATGTGATGGTGACACATAAGTAAGAAAGTCAGTTGCATTTAATACAAAAAAGTGTTCCATGAGCTAAAAAATAATCATTACTCAAAACCTCTCATTAATGCAGCACACAAATCGAAAGGGAAATATCTTTATAAGTTAGACGTTACCTTGACTAGAGCCAACCATTTAAAGGCTGGTTAGCTTTCAAACCACTAGCATATGAAAACTGACTTCACCTTGACCAAACAGGTTGATTACCATCACAACAAAAGATTTAATATCTTTTTTGGTAACTAAAAAGGAACTTAAGACACATCAAAACTTTTGAGCTTAGGAAGGTTTATGTGCATACTCGACCTATGTCTATACCCAATCCAAAAAGGAAACCTCAAACTCAACAATTTTAATTAATTAATAGGCATTCAATGCATATGACGATTGCAGTCATATTTTATGAAATGATTATCCACCATCGTGATCAATATACTCAAACGACAAACAACCATATTCTCATAATACCATATAAGTGCTCGGATAAGTAAATATCACTCATTAAATAATCTGATATATCTTTTCTTTCATCTTAAACAAATCTTAAAAATTATGTAATGTATATTGTCATATCATAATTCAAACCTAATAAAATAAATAAAAATTAGTTAAAAAGAGAAATCACTTTTACATCAAATTATTTTAGCATATGAAAAAGAACACATGTTATCTATTTCTTTACATGTAAATTTTTTTTTTCAAAATTCTTTTACAAATTGTAAAGTGATCATATGTTATGTCAGCATTACGTTTGGTAGAGATTGAATCATTAGATTAAGTATTGATCTAATAAGCAAAGGTTTAACGTTATAAAGTTAGTAAAATTTGAAGACATATAATAATTTAATTAAAGAGACAAATTTAAAATAGAAATTAATAGAAGAGTTTAGATTCTAGAAAGAAAAAATTAGAAAGTCATATGAATATAGAATAAGAAGACCCTCAAAAATAAAGAAAAAAACAAAATGCTTCAGTGGATAAGAAGTATTATCTCTTTTGGTTAGTACAATATCTTCACTCATTTAGATATAATAAGTTTATTTTCTATATGAAAAGATAACTAGTTAATTATTAGCTGCCATTAATTTAAAAACACATTATCACATTATTGATTTCGCTTCCGTTTGAATTTAATGTTTTTGTTCTTTTCTTATATATAACGAAACTAAAAAATATCAAACATTTTTATAATTTTAGTAAGTCATTAATTCACTTCTTTCAACCAGTTTTGGAAAATCTAATTCTCACATTGAAAAAAATGTTGAATTTAAATTGAAATGGGATGAGATAGATAACTTTATATAATTAACTAGTTAGGTATAGGTATCCTACAAAAATCAAATACTAGAACAAGTGACATTTGGCAAAACTTTACTTTAAATGGGACGGAATTGTAAGTATTATAAATATAAATGTGTTATAGATTAATGTGTGTTAAATAACAGGAATCTAATATAAACACTTCTGTCCAATATTGCTTAAAAACATAACTATTTTAGATTCATATAACCCAATCTGCTGCGGATTGAGAGAAGTTTTATACTTTAAATTTCAAACTCAATACATTTTAATTAAAATTGAGAGATAATATCTCTCCGACTTAATTATTATATCCGAAATTATATATATGAAATATTATTTAATTTTGAAATTTAGAATTTATGTTACATTTTTTATTTTATAAAATGTTTTAGAAAATTAGAGAAAAATATATTTAAATTATTTTTAATATAATCTTTTTAAGTAATATATAATTATTAGTATATTAAAACACAGTGTTTCTCAATTATGGATTATAAGAGTTTTGATTTTATCAAATAACATCATCATTTCGACATCAGTTAAATAATATTGTTAAAGTCAATTATTTTACTGACAATAGTAATTGTTATTAAGAGTTTTGTTATTAAAAGAAACATTGGAGTGTAAAAAAGATTACATCTTTTGATTTTAACTCTTAATTGATATAATAATAATAATAATTAAACGTAAATATTGAATTGTTCAATTATTAAATAAAGTAGTATATTATATCAAAATTATTCAAGAAAAGTTAAAAATATGTTTTGAAATTATACAGTAAAAAAAAAGTTAAAACCTGATCAATCTAACAAAAAGACGTACAAACTTGATCCAATTCACTGTGTATACTCCAATAATAGGTCTCTTTCTTTATATCTTTTTACATGTTATATAATAAAACAATGATATATTTTTAATATGTTCAAGTAAAATTTGTTTTAAAAAATAAAACAGAAAAAAAAAATCAGTTCTGTACTTTTTTTTTAAAACGAAAAGCAACTTGGAGTTCCTTATAATATAATAGGTTTAATTGCTTGTTTTGTTCCCAGTTTGGCTGTAACGTGTCAAGTTAGTCCACAATTTTAAGAAAGTTTCAATTACGTCCAAACTTGGTTTAAAAGTGTCAATTTCGTCCAAACGTAGTAAAATTTGCTTCAATCAAGTTTCTTCCGTTAAATCCACATAAACGGACGTTAATTTTTTTTCTCTCTCCTCTGTTGCTCTGCTCCTCTCCTCTGCTCCTCTGCACAACAGCAGACCCTCTCTTTCTTTTGAATATTTGCATACACTAAATGAATAGTTATAGTGATCACAATGACAAAGTGAAGCAACGGTTATAATTTTTGTTATAGGGATGAAAATAATGCATTTGCACTAAAAGTTGTCTATCATATTCTATATGGTAGTGTCTAATTTGGTCAATCAATATTTTAAGAAAATAAAAAGGTGTAAACAAATAATCATTTCAATGAAAAGTTTGAAAGAACGAAAAACTTTTAAATAATTTTCAATATCTTTTATTTTAATAAAATTACTTTCTTTATGTTTTAATAAATATTTTTTCGTATTTTATTTATATAAAACATACGCTTATATTTTTAAAACTTTATTTTTTTACCTTTTTATATTTTTATTCAATATTATATCTTTAAATAAAATAAGAGAAATGTGTTGTTTACTAAATATATCAGGTAGATTAATTTTATTTTTATTAAAATTATAGTTGAGACGAATGTGAATTCTAAATCTAGAGGACATATAAATGTCACACATAATATTAAAATCTTCTTTAACATCATTTTAAAGAAGGTAAATGATATTTCTGCAATTATAATTTTTAATTTAATTGGTCTATACATAACTCTCCAAACTATTTAAAACATGTTTCTATTATAATTTATAAATACAGTTTAACTAAAAAATTATTGTTTTATAATAATCAAGTTCAGTTTTAACTAGTAATTAAATAGTTTGTTAATAAAACTTTTCTTTTATGGAGTGGATCCTTCTCTTTTGACAGTAAATGGAGACTCTTCCATTCCATGTGAACCATTTGATTATCTTCCTATTTTAATTAACCTCTTTATATATAACAATTACATTATATGTATCTCTTAATCTAAACTATTCATTTAAATTCAAATATTAAAATAAATTTTAGTGTATGCAAATATTCAAAATAAAGAGAGGGTATGCTGGCAGAGAAACAGAGCAGAGGAGCAGAGGAGCAGAGGAGAGAGAAAAAAATTAACGTCCGTTTCTGTAGAATTAACGGAAGGGACTTGATTGATGCAAATTTTACTACGTTTGAACCAAATTGACACTTTTAAACCAAGTTTGGACGTAATTGAAACTTTTTTAAAATGGTGGACTAACTTGACATGTTGCAGCCAAACTGGGGACAAAGCAAGCAATTAAACCAATATAATATGCTATATAGTGCATTAGAGAAGAAATTTAAAAAGAATTTTCTGAAAAGCATATAATATTTACATTTATTTTAACAAACTTGTATGAACTTCTGTCTACTATAAAAATAATTTAGAAATAAACATTTTCAGCCATCACTTTTTTTTCTACATTTTTTCTTTCTTTCTGTTGTTTAGAAATTCTAGAATTCCAACATAGCATTTTGCCTTATAAAGTTAATAATAATAAAAAAAAAAGTATGTTTTTGTTTCCCTCCCCAGTTTCCCCCAAAAACATTGTAACAGTTGAAAGTGGTATTTGGGCCGGGTTGGGTTAAACCAAATATGGGTTGTGCTCAGTTCTAATAATCGCAGGCAGTGCAATCCTGGAACGACCTTAACCACATTCATTCATATTCATTCATAGTTATAAATAATTTCAAATCAATCAGAAGGTGTCGGTTTTGAAAAGATTAAACAATCTTTTTCTCTTCTCTTCCTTCTCCTTCCATGGCATCTCAGGCTAGCCTTCTCCTTCAAAAGCAGCTCAAAGGTATAGTTTTTCTCTCTCGTATTTTTTCCATTTCCTTTTTGCGAATCCCCGCGCAATAATAGCACCCTGTTTGGCGTCGATTCTCCGCGATGTTCTGATTGCCCTTTCCTCGCAGATCTTTGCAAAAACCCCGTCGACGGCTTCTCCGCCGGTTTGGTCGACGAAAGCAACATTTTTGAATGGAGTGTCACCATAATTGGACCACCTGATACTCTATAGTAAGCAATCCCCTTTTGATTTTTGTATTATGCCCCTAGATTTTGAGACTCTCCCACGCAATCCTTTCTTGATTTTCCATACCATGTTTGGATTTTTGGGTTCTGCTGTGTCTTTCCTTTGGGGTTTGGATACCGGGCCGAAGATCGCCTTTTTAATCGTTTATTTTGATTCCTGCTTGAACAGTTTTCTTGGTTTATGGACTTGGTTTCTTGCTACCTTAATCGCGAGAATTCATTGCGGTTGTTGTTGTTTCTTTAATGTTGAATTGTTTTTATTCCTCTTAAGCTGATGTTTTTATCTCCTTTCTAAATTACTGTTTATGCTGTTTACTACTGGGTTTTGTCTTAGTCGAGTTCGTTTGATTGCACCACCAAATGTTCTTTTGATGTCATTGTTTTGCTTTCCCTTCGTCGGTGTTAGATTTCTACTAACGTTTCCTTGTTGTGAATTGGTTGGACTTCTTACAGCGAGGGAGGCTTTTTTAATGCTATTATGAGTTTTCCATCCAATTACCCAAATAGTCCACCGTCAGTGAAGTTCACCTCAGAGATATGGCATCCCAATGGTTAGTTTAATTTCTTTACCTTTTCTTTTTAAATTTTTATTTTTCCTTGATTCATACCACATGAAAGCCGTTCAATTTGCAGTATATCCTGATGGCCGGGTTTGCATATCGATTCTTCATCCTCCTGGTGAGGATCCAAATGGTTATGAGCTTGCAAGTGAACGATGGACACCTGTTCATACAGTATGTCAAAATATAAACTACTCATCTTTTTTACAACATTGGCTTGTCTTGAATATTGATGACTGACACCATTTTATCTTGAATACATCCAAATCCAGCATCCTCTGGTTTAATGTCATACTTGAAACTTAAAACACTAAATTAAGTGTGTAAACACGTTCCAGATTCCCAACAGCTGGTAAGATGCAAAGCGATTGTGTTTTTCTGCTTGGGGTGTGCCCATGTGCATATCATTATGCCTATTGCTGAGGAGTCTGCATATCAATGCTTTACTGCATCGTTGGCATTGCAGTAAAAGGCTGTTTAAGTACTTGTCATAAAATGGAGCTCTTCATACGTCTTTCCTCCCCACTATTCAACTTCCTTCCCCATTTTGAAAGAAGAGAAGGAGATGACATTAACACCTTTAATCAATTGTCAAATAAAGTGCAGCATGAAGATTCTGAAAGGATAATTTTTCTAAGCTTTCATTCCATTGATAGAGAATCCATCTGCTAAAAATTCCAATATAACACTCTTAATATCGGGATTCAGTGTAGTATTAAGATTAAGGGAGACACTAGGAGTATTTTGTTAGTAGGACGGGTGGTAATAGAATATTACAGTCATAAGGATTTATTAATGGAAGGTTATCTTGAATAATGCGAAATCTCTTTGAAGCAACTTTGGATTCGAAGGAAACAAGTACCATGAAATATTTGAAGTAGAAGTTTGAGTTTTATGTGGGGAAATTGAGATGTATAGATCTAGTACAACACGTCATGCGTATTTTCTTAAATTTGCTAATGGGGGAAGCGAAGGAAAAAATAAAGTTGCATCTAGCAAGGGCTTTAGTAGAAATGAACAACACCCGGATGATTGATGAGAAGAATCTGGAGCTTACAAATGAAGGATCGAGTCCTGCATTGGGAAGTGGAAGCATAAATTTTCCATCTTCCAGAAAAATATTGGTGGAAACGGTATCTCAGATGAGTGAGCTTCTCTAGCATGTTTTAATCAGAAATAGGGGTCTTACAACTGACAAATACTTTGGACATAATGCATCTTTTTGAAATAGGGGTGGTGTGGTGGGTTCAGAAGGTGAGAAGAGGGGTGTGCTTTTGATGTTATGAAAAATATGGGTCTGGAAATATTTGTAAAATTCAACCGTATAAGGTGTTGCTGCTGGAGATAGAAGTAGAAGAGCTCAACATGGCAAAGTTTGAATGCTTTGAGGAACATTTGGAAGGAAATAACTCCCGGGCAAATATCCTTGCACCATATGATGGGTCTTACCACTAAAAGATCTTTGAAGTTATTGGGAATGGTGAAATAAAGGTTAATTGTTGAACCTCACAGTTTTCATATATATGAAGTTTAAGCAGGAGATGGTAATAGATGGTGTGTTATTACCATTCAATATTATATATTTTTACTTTATCAATTGGTTTTCTATCAATTTGGCCTGACCTGCTCAGTCAAAAGGAGTCAATTCTTTTGACCAGCGAATGGACAGATCATGATGCATGTGACTGGCTAGAGCTTATTGAGGCTTTTTAATTTTTGTCATCACAATTTAATCATTTACCCAAAGAACAATATTTGGGTAAGCATTGGGTTGAACATATGGGTGGTGAAATGGTATTAACAGTTTCAAACTCTTTTGTTGGAGTTACACCTTCATGTTTATCATTAATCTCGGTTGAATATAGAGTAAAAGGATCACTAGTTGTTTGAGTGTTTCAAGTTTGGGATGGCTTGAAGGAATATGAAATGAAAGACTAAGATTGAGTCAAGATCTTTTACGCTTATTATATCAAACAAAACAACTAAATGGTTGTAAAGATGTCAAATGTTAAATGTGTCAGAACTTCTTAATAACTTTGTTGGAGATCCTTTCGAAATGGTATTGCTTTTTGTTGACCACTAGCAAATTTATATATTGTCACCCATGAAGTTTTAAGTTTTTAAAGTAAGATGTATTAATATTGAAATATATTTTATCTTGCAGGTAGAGAGTATAGTCTTGAGTATCATATCAATGCTTTCCAGCCCAAATGATGAATCTCCTGCAAATGTTGAAGCCGCAGTAAGTTTGACCATGCGTTACTTATTTACTAGATTGTTTTACAGCAACCCACTTGTCTTTACCGTCATATGGTTTGTATCCAAGAAAAGATGTTACTGTGAATTTCATTAGATGGTGCCGAAGTATAGTTACTTGGTATAATAATAGATTGTCTATTATAGTTAGTTATTTCTATATTATTATGGACTGTAAATCAATTGCCTTAGGTTACTTGTGATCTTGTACATGCTTTAATTATTTCAGTAGGTATTCATCATGACGTCAAGTTATGATGAATGTTCTCCAAGATACTTCATCTTGATTGCTAGTTAGTGTAAGTGGTGAGATGCCAGGCTAGAATGTTAAATAGGATATACTCCTTCTCCAATTATTAAGAAGAAATGAACAAAAAAAGTTTCCTTCTCTAAATAACTAACACCAAACCACCGACCCTTTTATCTGTCTACCTCAAGCAATGGGGTTAGCGACCATATGCGCCTAAATGGGTTTTCTATCCGTCTTATAATTTTCAGTTAGCGGTGAAATTCTTCCTTATTTTCTTCAATAGGTGTGCTATTCCAACTCACCCCCAAGGCATTTCATTCCTAATCGTATATTGTATAGCAGTGTCTATCCGACGATAGCTACATTCTCATCTTTGTTACATTGTGTTTATTCTCTTGTTGACTTTAACCCAAGATTTAGTATCACACAACATCGTAAACCTTTACCTTAAGCCGAAGCAGTGCTTTTTTAGTCACATCTTGCACGTAGATTGTTTCTTCCACCTTCTGTTTCTCCATTGTTTTGTATACTTAACCCGCCATGTTTAAACTGTGTACCTTGTGACAAGGTGTGATCTCCAATCCACTAGTTGCTGAATACATTGTCTAAATGTTAAGATTTAATGTTGGTAGTCATCCCTTTAATTGTCTTGATCTGAGAAAAATTCTGAACCGTTTTGTATGATGGATGGACGTAAGATATTTAAACTATGTAACTCGTGCAAAGCATGGTCTCCATTTTCTTATTAAGTGCAGTGGCTAAATATGGTCCAAGAAAAATCCTTAATCTTTTTCTTAAGACCTGTGAAGCATAGAAGCGAATAAAATCTGTGTTTCTCATAGTATAGTATGCAATGGTTATGGTTTCCACATTAATAACGAGGACCCGCGACAATTTTTTTTTTCTAAGATGTCAATTTCAATCAATTTCCATATTTGGTTTTATATTTATCCTGATGTGATGGTTTTCTTGATGTCCTTTTTAACTATAAACGGTAGCACGTATTGTATATGATTCTGTAATCGTTTTTGTTCTGGGGATTTCACATTACCATTGCCAATATCTTTACTAGTTGAAATGCTTTGTGTGGGGCGACAAAATACTTTGTTTTTGGTTTTACTTCCTGTTGAGTTTGTTGTGACCTGTATGATATGGCATTGCAGAAGGAGTGGAGAGATAGGAGAGATGATTTCAAGAAAAAGGTGAGCCGATGTGTAAGGAAGTCACAAGAAATGCTGTGATTTGTGGGCGACCCCTCATACTGCTTTTTGTGAACTGGAGGACATATAATGTGTAATGGATTGGTTCACCTGTTACTGTTGCTGCGTATAAAAATGGCATTGGAACTTGTCCACATTCCTCCTTTCTTCAGTCCCCATGTCTGTGCATGGCCATTTGTCCTAACTTGGAAAACAAACTGTATTCTAAGTGCTTTGGCCGGTCTTTTGACTTCATTGGAAATTTACTTTGTTCATTTGCAGAAGCTTATATTTGGATTTCAAATCTAAAAAAGGGTTTATATTTCAGTTTAGGTTCTGTTTCTCCCTATTGTGATTGTCCCCATTTTGCACTGGCCACTACCAGGCCCTCAAGAAGTTCAGTTCTATTTGCTTGATTGATAATACATGAGTAGCGAAGGAAGTGCTTTTAATGCTGAAAATTCTTCCTATTCTTGTTAAGTTATTGTGTACTCTCAAACTAGAAATACGTAATTTTAAAACCTTGGTATGGTTCATCAAGAAACTAGTCATACCTTCTTCCATCTATAGTTTAAGGGTCGAACGTAGTGTGATTTGTACAAGCAGACGGAATTCAATGAAGAAGCTACTATTATATACATACTCCAAATTATGGACCATAAATCGTTAGCATTGTCTAGTAGTAATTCAAGAATCCTCTTAATCGGTATCAAACCACAAATAACAACAAAGAAAAAGTCATAAAACTAACAATGATCGTTACTACTCGAGACTTTCCCTTCGAGCGAGGGAGATACTATTAGCTTTTTCAAATCGATTTCCCATTTCCTGTGGTTTGTTGGGGATTAAGGAAGAGAACTAACCCAATATGGATGTTAAAGAAATCATAAATGAACATTTGTAATACATTCAACAATGTTACCCATTAAATGTTATAAAATGTCTTGCAGACTGGCTTATGATACGCTGGATTAAATTAATTAGCGTAAATTTGAAGGATGAAATTGATGAAAATCCATAAACAGTAAGTGCAGAAAGTCTTATGAATAAAATTTCTGTGAGTTGAACCATTTAAGTGAGAAAAATCCATTTATTTCATGGTTTAGTTGACAGCAAGTTTATTCGTCAGTGACTGAAATACGCATACAAAACTAACGTAAAAAGCATAATATTTCCCAAGTTTCTTCGAGGTCCACCTAAACATAGAGAAAAGAATCATTTGGGTGGTTTGACATGGCTTCCCATTCTAACAACGTTGCCGTCAATATCTCTGACGTACCCAACCTTCTGGCCCCACTCCTTTCCCTCCGGCTCCCTCACAGCCACCGCTCCATTCTCCACCGCACGCTGATCCATTCCATCCAAAAATCCATCAAGACAACCAAACAAACGCATAATGTATATGAATTAACCAACCAATAATTAACAACATATGCATATGTTACCTTAAAAGCAGCATCTACGTCGGAGTAAACAAAACAAACCTCCATGGGTGGTCTTTCTCCACCAGATCCAGAGCTGTGAACCGCACCGGTCAGATTATCGGTCTCGTGCTGGTGAATCGGAGTGAAAGCGATAGTTGTGCTCCCCGTTTCCAACTCTCCCCATCTAAATTCAAATTAATTAAATAAACTCTGCCTCAAATTCCTAACTTAATTCTCGATATGAAGATAATCACATATATTTAACCTGTGAGACTCGTCTAAGCGACGAACTTCATAGCCGAAGGCTTTGGCATAGAAAACCACCGAGGCGGCTACGTCTTTCACGTAGATCACCACGTACCCAAAAACCGGTTTCTGATTCGTCGCCATTGTTACTGTTTGATATGTGATCGATCTCGGTTCAGCTTCCTCCTCGCACTCGTAGTTTTATTCTTCCAATCTCGTGAGTCAATTTTCATGCACGTTGTCACGTTACACTAAAATTTATCGAAGAACATCAAATTTTCAGATCAGAAATTTTGGTGAGTAATGTATAAACCAGTATAAATGGATTATTTTGTATATCCAATATTATGGAAATATTGTAAATTTTTATGATTGATTTGTGTGTTCATAACTATTGTAAACATATTAAATTTAATAATGATTTAAAATATTGTGAAATGCTTGAGTGCAATAATAAGTTACATCTATATGCTATTATAAATATATCATAAGCAGTTTTACACACAGCTCAGATATTTTACTTGTATATTTTTAATGAACAATTTTTTAACTGAAATACCCGCTTGATTTAATGTATTCTTTATTTTTGGATATAGTGATATAAAGGGCATATATCAAATTAATAAGAAATAAAAACTATAAAATAATAAAAATTGTCGTATACATTTTTGTATATATTGTTTAAACTACATTTATGCTCCAGAAAAAGCCTCCATTTACATGCCATTTAAATACATTTTAGAGTTTCATTTAGTTTAACATTAAAATCAATTTAACAGACTCCCACAAGTAACGTTTCGAAAAATATAGCATATAGTGGGCAACAATAAAAGACACTGTAGATAACTAAAATTAAAAAAAAAATAAAATTGAGATACTCATATATAGATGTTGAAAGATAAAATGATCGAGACAATCAAAATTGTGTTGTCACTAGTAAAAAATAGAACTCAATAATAAAGCATGCCACCAATAACAAGGATAGTGGATGATATAATTTTTTTTCAAAAGAATATTAGACTCTATATACATGGTGAATAGAGTGAAAACCATCTAGATTAATCTCCCTTTTATGTTAAATATATATATATATAAATATTATATTTATAATAAAATAAATATAGATTAAACTCAAAATATAAATAAATAATAATAAAAAATTAACTAAAAATAAAAAATATATATTTAACAAAATTAAATAAAAAATAAAAATATAATTAAAAATTCAAAAACAAATAAAATTTTTAAGTTTTTAAGTTAAGCCAGAACGTGAAATTACTGAGTCTACTGTGTTAAAGTTTCACTTTGTAGTACCGAAAAGGTAGATGGTTCTTTTGAGAATTTAAGAGTGTTTTGGGCCATTTCAAATATGAGGTGTCAAATGGCCTAAAAACTTGTCATGTAAGATATCCAACTATAATTATATTATTAGTTTAAGTTATTGTGACATTTAGAAGAGTGTTGTATTTATAATAGGAGTTTAGGGTGAAAATTTGCATGCATTCTTATCTCCATATAATTTTTCATTACACATCAAATATTAAATCAAATTGAAAAACTATTATAATTAATTATATCTGAATATTTAATTTCTTAAAGCAACTACACCACTTAAATATATTATTCTTTTAATAGTTTTACTCTAATATTTTTTATTCCACTTAAACAGTATTTATGCAAAATTCAACGATCATATGATTCACGCTGCCTTTTGCTTGTCTGATGTCCAAAGATGAAAATTGTTGAATAACAGATGGACGAACTGTGACGTCTCATTGAACACATCTCCACCGTCCACGTAGCCACCCAACGTTTGAGAATTAGATTCAGTTCCTCACTCTCCATACCAACGATCTTCCACTGCGACGAAAGCAAATCGGAAAGTTAACTAACGAAGGTCCGTTCGGTGAAAATCGGCGACGAACGAAGATCAACAATAAAAATTCATTACATTACTTTCACTGTCTTTCCTAATCTCCCAACCTTTACACTTGCACATTTCTTTCAGGTCAATCTTCATCTCTTTCGGATCGAATTGACAATTATTCTTGCTTCTAGTGTTTTTATCATATTCTTTGTCTCGATTATTACTAGCGTCGTTGTATGTTCACACATCGTGTTGTTTCTAATTTTAATTTCATTCTTTATGTTTTCTTGACTTCGCTAATTGCAACGGTAATCCACATTATTTCAATTGAGGCTACTGGATTTGTCCTTCATCTTTAACGTTTCTTTTTTGGTGATACGTTTGATATTTTTATTTTAACAAGTTTTGCAGATTTATTTTGGTGTATTGGATTTGTGTTGAGTTTCATTGCGGCTATGTAGATGTAGGCTTGCAGCTTGTAATAAAAACCGTGCAATAATTTCTTGTTCTCCTTTTCTATTTAGTGATGAGAATATTGGGACTGGAATGTTCCAGTGTGACTGATAGATTTCACTTTGAAGATATTTTACTTGATATTGAGGTGCAAATGTCTTCAAAGTGAAATCTACAGGCTCTAGTTGAATATAAAAAAAATTCTATAAATATTTATAAGGAAAATAAGAAGGAAAAAAATGAGTTAATCTTCTCTATAAATATAAACTCACGAGTTTAACTTCTATATAGGATGCAGAGAATCATATACAGATAACTAAGATGCGTACGTTGGTTTTAGTTCATATAGAAATTTAATGTATCTTTCTTCTAATTTTCTTCTTTTACAAGTGTTTAAAAAGAGTTTATACAAACAAAACGTAATTGTTGCATCCAAAACTGAAGATACTCTTATGTTTTACTGTTTGCTAGGGAAACTGACATGCCTTCAGTTTACATGGGGGGTACGGTGGATAATTCTACCTCGAGCATGGGAACTAATTCTAAACAAAGCAGTGTTGTAGCTGGGAAAAATACATACAAAAACCTTCTGGTTGCATCACGGCCTAAAGGCTTTGCACGGAGAAATTATGAACAACTTGTGTCATTCACCCATGGTGACTTTGGAAGCAGTTTTGTGGGTCGTGCCACTTTTTTTTTACTCAAAGTTGCTGCCTTAGAGACCGTGAGGAGGTTCTCCAAGAGTAAATGCCCGTGTGTATGGCGAGGCCTGCAGGGTCTACAAATCCTTGTCTATCCACCTTTCAAATGGATTCAGAGGTGGGCACCCTTCAGGGGTTTGGTGAAGAGCATGCAGGTTTGTGATTATTAATTTCTGAAGGGTTCATCAAAGTTATCATTGAATGTAATTTTAAAGCGGTGGAATATAATAGTTCAGGAAAATCATTACTCTAAATATGAATTAGCTTGGAACATCATTTTTAAGTTTTATAAATTGGTCGACGTAATCTGTATTTGTATGATTCTAAGAGATCTTAGTTTGGGATTTGAGAATACAGTTTATTAGTGGCTTCAATGTATCATTTTCATATGGAAAGTTTCTCAAAGATAATTTTCTTCCCCCTCATTTTTGTTTTGTATAAAAAAAAGATCGGTATTGCTTCTATAGAGACTATGGATATGGATCTTCTAAGAGCTTTTCATGCTTTTAGTATTGTGTCATCATTAGCAATTATAAGATGTATGTTCGATATTTCCCTTGCCCTCCATTACTATTAAGATGAAGGAGGGCCTAATTAAGGAATGTTCTCTTTTTTGTTTGCTTTTCTTTTTTACCTCTTCT